ACTCCACCTTTCAGCTTGGAGGACGTTTTCGCCGCTTACTGCGAGTTTTCCTAATGGTGAGTATTATTATCTTAAGTGTGGGACTCTGTGAGTCTAAGCCTCATAACAGCTGTGCCGCCTCCGGACTCCAGCCCCGTTTATCTGGAGCAGCGGACCTTTTTACCTTGGCCAAACTGGGGTTCCTTTGCTACACCAACCTAAGTTTTCTCTGAACTAATTAGAAGAACTCGGTTCCAAAACAAGGGTCTTAGCATATGGGAAGTCCACAGAGCCCTAGGAAGGCAGCATGCTCATGGGAACATGCTGAGCGTGAGGACAGTTGGGTGCAGCTTCTCCACAAGTGAGAGAATGGCCTGTGGCTATGTATTAAAATATGCACGTCCGGATGGGGCGCATGTTTTAATTGGCATTTGGAGGCATCTAGATGGTATCAGAACTCTAACACTGCCTCTCTCCAAAACAGTGTCTGCACTCACAGAGGCTGATAAAGCACGGAAAGATGGAGTCCTGGGCCCAGGTCTCCTCCTGCCCCTCATTTGGGTTGTTGATGAGTTTGGAAACAGACTTTTTCTTTTTTTTTTTGAGACAGAGTCTCGCTCTGTCGTCCAGGCTGGAGTGCAGTGGCGCGATCTCGGCTCACTGCAAGCTCCGCCTCCCAGGTTCACGCCATTCTCCTGCCTCAGCCTCCCGAGTAGCTGGGACTACAGGCGCCCCCCACCACGCCGGGCTAATTTTTTGTGTTTTACTAGAGATGGGGTTTCACCGTGTCGGCCAGGATGGTCTCCATCTCCTGACCTCGTGATCCGCCCGTCTCGGCCTCCCAAAGTGCTGGGATTACAGGCGTGAGCCACCGCGCCCGGCGCTGGAAACAAACTTTTTAACCTCCAGAGGGAACCAAGTTAAAAATGACACTTTCGTCAATCATTCATTAAATTCAGTTTGGCTTCCCTCTGCTTTGGCCATAATCACAGTTTCTGGGTATTCAAAATTGAAGTCTGATGAGGCTAAAGAAAAAAATGTGGTTGATTCTACAGCAAAAGTCGCTGCCTTGAGTTTCACTAAGACTAAAAACCTTACAGCTGAGATAATTTTCCAAAAAAGGACGTAAGTCATGTTATTAAAGATGCTCTGTCCCAAGCACCCATGAGTCGGTGTTACCAGAATCTATGAAAACATCAGGACGACTCATGGGGCAACTAATGAACTTACACGTTTACAAAACAGTATTGGGGGAGAAACATTTCAAAGGCGGCCAAAGAGGCACAACTGCCTTGTGCTGTTTGCCCAAAATTCAACCCAGCGAAGACACTTCAGACAGTCCCAGGCCGTTCTGACCTGCCCAGCAGGCCCTCTGAGGTCTGGCGAATGGACTTCATCCAGCCACTGCCTCCCGAGACTATAAATACGTCGTGATGATTTGCATGTTCTCCGCCTGGGTGGAAGCGTTCCCTTCCTGATGTGCCACTGCCTCAGACGCTGCACACTCTACTAGAACAGATGCTCCCTACATGACGGACACATCTTCACACGCAGCGGCAAGGAACTCCACTGGCCAGGTCGTAAAACCAGTCTGTGAAGTCTGGTCCACATTACAGGGCTGTTATTGTGCCTACCATCCCAGTCCTGCAGATGGGCAGAAAGCACAGGTGGCATCACCAAGATTCAACTGGCAAAATTTCAGGAAGCACTAAAATTGCCCTGGCCAAAGGCACTTCCTGTGGTCCTTCCGAATCTAAGGTCCGCACCTTTCGGAAACTGCAAGTTGTCACCTTTTGAAATGATCACGGCAGGGTCAATGCGCAGAGTCCCTTCTGCTCTGAACAGTCCGTGTATTAAAGGAGACATGCTTCAATACTGTAAAGGAATAATGAAGGCGGTTCACACAAGTCATACCCTGGTCAGTCTTTACACGGTGTGTTCCCAGGAGATAAAGGCACCAGACAGCACGACCTTCAGCCTGATCTTTTTCTCTACTGGAAAAGACATTTACAGAAAGATTTCCTTCAACCTCAGTGAAGAGTCCGCGTCAGGTACTCCTTACCAATCCCTGTGCTGTCAAACTAAAAGGTGTCGGCCCTTGGATTCAGGTTTCTCATTTAAAGAAACCTCTACCCCCTGCTGGAATTCAGACAATCCCCTGAAATGAAAACTGACCCGAAGGTGAAGCAGGTGACACTAGAGCTTGATTGAGGTCACGTCCGCAATGAGGGACACGACTCCCTGGGACAAGTGCCTCCCGGCAACAAGGGACAACATCACATTCACCAACTGATCTGTGACTTTCTGGAGGAAGAACTCGATCAAAAGGGGGAAATGTGAAAGAAAACGAAGTCACCAATGCTAAGGCTTTCTAAGTGGAACTGGGTGGCCACGGGAGGCCTGCATTCACATGCCGACGGCCAGGCCACAGGACGCCCGTAGACTTGGACCAGCAGCTGAAGTCAGCCCCTGACGGCCTTCACATCTCCCAGCTGGGAGGGCCCTGAAGCACTAACCCATCAGAAAGGGCTTCATTTAGGATTTCTCCCCAGCCAATGAACTGCCTCCAAAAACCCTTTGTGGAAATCCCCTATGCACATCTCTCCAGGCCGGGCGAGGCGGCTCATACCTGTAATCCCAGCACTTTGGGAGGCTGAGGTGGGCGGATCACCTGAGGTCAGAAGTTTGAGACCCAGCCTGGCCAACACGGTGAAACCTCATCTCTACTAAAAATACAAAAATTAGTCAGGGGTGGTGGTGGCAAGCACCTGTAGTCCCAGCTACTCAGGAGGCTGAGGCAGGAGAATCACCTGAACCCAGGAGGTGGAGGTTGCAGTGAGCTGAGATCGTGCCACTGCACTCCAGCCTGGGCAACAGAGTCAGACTCCGTCTCAAACAAAGAGAAAAACCAAAACTCTCCAGTGTTTGCCTTCCAGGACACTACTCAGGGTCACCCTGACTCAGTTTACCCAAATCACAATCCTTTGTTTCCCAAATAAATGCTTTAGTTAATAGTATTAAAAGTGAACAATGAAAAAGCAGATTCAAAACCTATTCAAATGGTTCTAACTCAATGTGTTAGTATAGTCACAGCTGCTTACTGAAAACGAACATTTAAACTTGGTCTACTCCAGGAAGATGTGCGGAAAAAGGGTGAAGGGTGAGCCACTGGGCCCAGCCCACCGCAGGACGGCCCCCTGTGCTTGTGTGTGCCCCAACTCACAGTGACAACACCCTGGCCAGGCCTCTGCATGTTGGCTTGGTGTCATCTGCCTTGCACTGGAGTGAAACAGGGTCAGGCTGCCACCATCCACACAAATTTTAAAAATGAAACCTTTATCAAGGGAGTATCTTTGGACTGTTTTAAAAGTCTTTGGAACCATGACTTGGAGCTGGCAGAAGAGGCCGTGGCTGTGGACTTCGGCACAACCAACAGTGCTGAAAACACTATGATTTACATCCGTTCCAAGCTGCAAGTCCATCTTTTCTCCCTGCAACAAAAAGACCATGAGCTTAAAAAAGGGAGAGGGTTCCATCACCCTTGCAGCAGCTTAGACAGCCCCTTAGGGTCCGCCTGGGCTCTCAGACCCAGTACCTCCTTCCAGGGATGTGCCCACACCCGGGTCCTTTTGTTAAATTACATCTGGCCTAAAGCTGGCCATTCTTTGAATTCCTACCTAGTGAACTGCAACCTAACGAAGCATGTAAACAAACTCAACCTAGTAAGTCTATTCTTGTAACAAGTAGCTGAGTCTGTCATAAGCTGCCAGTGGATCAGACCACACCCACATGACGCAGAGGCCCAGCCGTAGCCAATCAGGCTGTTTCCGTGCCTCACTTTCGTGTTCTGTCTTTAAGTGCTGCCTGCCCATGCTGCTGGGTAGAGCTCGCTGAGCCTCTCCTGGTTCTGAGTGCAATTCATGAACTGTTCTTTGTTCAAATAAACTCTAAAGTTTTTCTTTTTTTCAGACAGAGTCTCACTCTGTCACCCCAGGCTGGAGTGCAGTGGCATAATCACAGCTCATGGCAACTTCCGCCTCCCAGGTTTAAGTGATTCTCCTGCCTCAGCCTCCCACGTAGCTGGGATTACAGACATGCACCACCATGCCCGCGAGGCTAATTTTTTTTTTTTTTTTTTTTTAGTAGAGATGGGATTTCACCATGTTGGCTGGGCTGGTCTCAAACTCCTGACCTAAAGCAATCCAACCGCCTTGACCTCCCAAAGTGCTGGGATTACAGGCGTGAGCCACTGCGTCCAGCCTCAAGTTTTCAACACTCTTGACCATTGTGTCTCACCAGGACCAAGCAAGAGCCTCCTCACCAGCCTCCGGCTTCCAGGCTATTCTCTACACAGTCACATCACACCCTGCTCTGCTCAGGCCCCACAGAGGCCCTCCTACCCACACATCCTCCCGACGCATCACTGGCCCAGTTGCTCCATCTGGGACACCAGCATCTCTCTGCCTTGGCGGTACGTGCCCTGGGGCCTCTGTACTCATTGTTCTGGCCACTGCCTCTTACAGCCCCACTAGCCTTCCTGGGCCCCTCCCAACCTCCCACCTCCTCCAGGCTGTGTTCTCCAGAGTTCTGCAGCATTTACCAGCACCTGGCACACAATCTTCGCACTGGCTGGTCTCTTCCCATCACAGTTAAAACTCATAAAGGCCATACTGCCATCTCCTATGTGCCTAAAAACCTGGCAGTTTTCAAACTTTTACAACTGTGGAATTCTTTCCCCAAAGAGGCCTCCCAACAGTCTAATGAACAGAGGGCTGGTTGCTGTTGAGGATGACGAGGGCTTACAGGGCCCCTTGAGCAGACCCAGGAAACACTGGGGGCCCCAGGGGCTCTGGCAGAAGTGGTGTCCTGATGCAGATGCCACAGCACTCACAGGCCAGCAGGAGCGGCCCCTACCCTGTTCCACACCTGGTCACCATGTGCTTTCTGGGAGATGTGAAAGGGTTCTTCCACCTTCCGCTGGGTAGCAGGAAATGAGTCTAATGAGTCTACGCTCCACAGCTAACTACCATAAAGCAGTTTATTTTTCTTAAAAAGGAAGGTACATGGTCACAGTCCAAAATGTTTTATACAGCTCTCAACCTGGAAAATGCAATTGATGAAAAAGGCACTGTTTCTAGAACAAATGGGAAAAGAATAAATATGTCACCATTTACCTTGCACAGCTTTGAGTAACACCGTAGGACCCTGTCACATGTTCAGGGTCAATTTTAAAAGCTTGAGAAGGAGAAGACACAGCAAGGTGATGTCCTAGACTAGCCAGGCTCCGAAGGGAAGAGCTGTCTGTCCCTCCTCACTAACCCTCCTCTCTCTGTCACACAAGTGTCCGTGTCACTGTTCCTCTAGCAGATGTGGAAAGTGGGTGCTCAGTGAGGACTCAGCCCCCACCAGCCTGAGGGTCACACGACACCATGGTGGGAAGTCACAAAGGGTAACGGGCCAAGAGGGAGAGGGGGGCTCCCTGACCTTGAGGACCCCTGAGGCACTGCTGCACCTTCCACAGATTCTGCGTCCAGCGTTGCCCTCTTTGCAGATGCCCCTCGTGGTGGTGGCACAAAGACCTAAAAATGATTTCTGTAAAATGGGTACCAGGAGCTCCCTGATAAAGCAGCTCATCCTAGACAGCCTTTTGGAGTTGGTGTGACTGTCCTTCCTCATTTCTAGCTCTCAATAGTGAATGGTGGACCCGGAGGCCCCACGTGCACCTGCCAGCCAGGGTGAGGATAGGGCAGGCAGGGCGAGGGCGGGGCAGCCAGCTGGGCCTGGTGTGAGGAGCAGAGTTGCAAGTTTCCTACAGACAATCCATCGAGTGTCCCAGAGACGCCACTGAAAAACTTCCCAGCACTCTGATGTGCTGACGGTAGGGCCTGAACTGTCATCCCTCCACGGGGCTCCCTGAGGCCTCAGGCCCTCCCTTTGCAGTGCCAGGTCTGCCTTGCACATCCCAGGAGGAGACAAACAGGCAGCCTCCTGCTGTGTGAAGGCGACAGAGGGATTCATGGGGCTCCGGTCACTCTGCAGACATTTAACATGACTCTTCTCCTTGCACCAGCTCCCAGGGAAATGTCAGCCCGTGTCCACCTGACGGAGGGCAGCTCACCCGCCTGCATCTATCCTCAATGCGCTTAAAATATGAAGACATGAAAGGTGGCTGGTAAGGCCAGAGCTGGAGCCTGACAAACACTCCTGCTTATGAGTCACCACGCGGGCCCTGCTGGCAACCGAGCTGGGGGTTCACAGACACTGCCTGAAAACACAACTGCCCCCGAGAGCAGCAGAGCCTCTTCGTCAGCCATGGCGGCTGGAAACGCCACGGACAGAGCACGACTCGACGCGCTGCACCTCTAGCGGCGTGGGGCCTCTTCTGGGCTTAGGACCCCGCGAGGGACAGTCCTGTCCACCGAGCTCCTGGCTGGCAGCAGACGGTGACTCCGCGGCGACAGAGCCTGCGTCCACCCACGTCAGTTGGGTCTGGGAGCGGCCCCGGAGGAGCCTTCTCAGTAGGTGATCTTCCAGTGCGTGGGCTGCTCACATGCCTTCTCTTGGTCTCCGCAGAACCTGTTGTAAGTTGTCTTGGGGTCCAACCCCAGAATTTCTCTTTCCTCATGAATCCGAAAAGAAAATGTTGAGACTGAGGTGCCGATAAAAAACCTGCAAAGGACCACAGAGGTTCCAGAGTTAGGGAGAACTGAGATCACAGAGGTTCCAGAGTTAGGGAGAACTGAGATCACAGAGGTTCCAGAGTTAGGGAGAACTGAGATCACAGAGGTTCCAGAGTTAGGGAGAACTGAGATCACAGGGGTTCCAGAGTTAGGGAGAACTGAGATCACAGAGGTTCCAGAGTTAGGGAGAACTGAGAGGAGCAGGTGAGTGAAATGAGTTCCAGAGTAACATGGAACCGACACAGCCGCCCCCCTGCTGGCACCCCTCGCTCAGGTGCCCTTGACATCTGCGCCCTGAGGGGCTCTGCCTGATGCTGCAGCCCCATCCCCACCCCACAGTCAGCAGCCACCACACTCCTGTCCCACCACATGCCCCCCTCAGGAGCTCTCCTCTCCATCACCAAATCCCAGACCAGGCACGCCGGTGCAGGTCGAATACCTCCTGGACCAGGCACGCCGGTGCAGGTCGAATACCTCCTGGGGGTCACATGGTGAACAATGAGAGATTCCTACTAATCACAACACTGTCTAGCCAAGGCATGGGGGGTCCTTATCCTGAGGCACAAGAGAAATCACGGAGGTCAAGGACCCCTCCACACACACGCCGTATGGGCTGGTGGGGACACCCTTCTCCAGGGGTTTCTTCACACCTTGGGTCAGCGGCCTGCCCATTCCTCTGGCTCCTGCACAGTCGGTTTCTGGCTCTCCAGCAGCACTTCATGAACTTCAAGAACAAGCAAACCCCAGAGATGTTTCCAGAGCAAACGTGACGTGCCCAGCACTGTACACGGAACCACAGGGCCAGCAGGCCACACAGGCCTGTGTGCTGCTGGGTGGGGGCATTGGTGGGGAGACCCTCACCACTCCACACACAGGGGCCTGTCAGAGCAGGCCGCGCTGGCCTGGAGGCAGAGCAGCTTCAGTGAGCTGGGCCAAGTGCTTCGCGCAGCTGAGGGCAGGAGGCCGAGAGCTCAGTGTCAGGCCTCCCCACAGCAGGCTTCCTGGGCTGGGGAGACAGCACTGCCAAGCTCGCAGTCAAATCTCAAGGCCACACCTGAGAAGCAGGGGCAAGCTTGTGACTGGGCTCCCACACACCTCCGCCCTGACCTAAGAAGTCGGCGCTGCCTCCTGTCTGCTTAACAGGTAAAGGGATCCACGCCCCACAGACAGCATCACCCGGAGCCTCCGTGGGTCTTACGCACAATGCCCAGAACACCACAGGAAACAGCAGATGTGTGAAGAGGCACCAGCTCAGGGCGCTCAGCATTCCTCGGGCAGGAGGGAGACAGACTAACCCACAGAGACCTACACACGTGCACAGTGCTAACCACGGGAAGACCATTCCCTCTACTTTCCTTTTTTATTGAACTCAAACTGTTTCACCCTAACCCTAACCTTGGTCTCCTATGCAGACGGGCAGACAGGTCTTTGGAGGAACAGACGCCCAGCCCTACCTCCTACAGCAGCCCCATGAGAATGACGGCATGCAGGGCCCAGGCTCCCAACCTTGGGGACACTCATGGCAACCCCACAAGAAAGATCGCATGCAGGACCCAGACTCCCGGCCTCGGGGACACTCACGACAACCCCACGAGAACGACCGCACAAGGGCCCAGGCTCCCGGCCTTGGCGATGCTCATGATGCTCTTCAGCAACACACACAGCACCAATGACGCGCCCAACTCGAGGGCATGGGCAACTCTTAGGGCAGGGGGCAGATGGGGCAGAAACTGGGAATGACGGGAAAATGAGACACAAGAAGAGGTTCTGAGATGAGACCAGCTATGCCAACAGCCTGCTATGGAGGAAGTCTGTGTGTGAGAATTAAAAGGGCAAGATAAACAATTAACTTCAGCCCAGGGAAACCCTGAACCAGATGCTACAGGAGACTCAGACGAGGAGGTAAACAGTGTGGAAATGACCACTGTGAACACAGGTGACCATCTGCTCTGACACCGAGTACCTGGGACGGAAGAACCTTTGAAAGTCACCCGACCCACTCTCAGCCGATGGTGAAGGGGGCAGGCACCTGGCATGTGAGCAGATCCACTGGTCAATAATCGCAACGCCTCCGTCCTTGTAGAGCTCCAGCTCCTCCCACGTGGGTTCAAACCTCACCATCTCGGGTAACAGCTTTTTTAGCTCTTCATATTCTGCGAAGTAGAAGGAGAGACCCTTTGAACCGGATCCTCCAGTAGGAACAGATATGTATCTCTTTAGCAGAAAGACATGCATACTTGGCTTCTGGTTAATTCGTTACGAACTGGCTCAAAAGTTGCAGACACACAATTCAGCTTTACCCTCCCAGGAATTAGTTGAAGATCATGCAGGCCTAGGTCTACCCAGAACGGAACCAGGGATCAAGACGAAAAGAAAGAAACGAAAGGCACGGAAGCTCCATACCCTTTCTGACGGCATCTGTGGCCACAAACACCTTGTCCAGCCGGTGGATCTTCATGAGGCTGCGGATCTTCCTCACGGCCCCTTCCAGGCTGGGCACGTCCTCTCTGTGACCCCAGATAAAATCTTTTCTTCTCAGATGGACTCCCAGGTAGGGGCCCCCTAGCGCCGAGCCCAGCTTGACCTAGCAAAGAACCACAAGGAAATGCGGAAAGTGATAGGCGGGCTCGGGGCTCATCCTGGGCACCGGGTGGAACTCGAGACGCAGAGGGACGACCATTTCCATGTGGCCTCCTCCATGGGGTGGCCTCCAGGGCTGTCTAAGGGATTCCGGTGGAATCTCGGGGGCGACTTCACTAAGAAGACAGTGAAGCGGTATTAATGACCACCGATCATTTTATCTGAGTTAGAGAAAAGTATTTAAAACGAGAACAGCATGTGGAGTTTTGCTCCGAGAACCACCGCAGGGGCGTGCCAGCTCCTGTGGATGAAGCAGCTCACGGCTGCCAACTCCCCAAGAGCCAGAATGCTCTGCTGCCCTCTTGACAGCACCACCTCCTGGCTGGAGGCCACCAATGCAAATGGTTACAGCAAATTCTAACAGAACCCTGCTCTAAGGAAGGAGAAAGCAACAGCTAATTCCACCACTTGCAACATCCTGGCTGACCACAGGTCCGGAGTCTGTCCACATGACAACTTCGCTGCAGCATAACCAGCATTTGAGAAAGACAGTGCACTCAGCAAAACTACAACCAAGGACCCCGCCAGAGTCCACCTCACTCCCCTGCCACCTCCACAGAGCAGGTGCTGGTACCCACGGCTAGGAGACCTGAAGACGGATCCCATCACAGGACTCTGCAGACATTCCCCAGCACCATCCCAGGGCCTGGAAGCCCCACTGGGTGGCTAGACCCAGAAGAGCAATCTCAGTCACTGCAGCCCAGCTCTCAGGAAGCCCCATCCCTAGGGGAAGGAAAGAGCACCACAGAGCACCCCGTGGGACGAAAGAATCTGAACAGCAGCCCGTGAGTTCCAGATCTTTCCAATGAAATAGTCTGCCCAAATGAGGAGGCAGAAAACCAATTGTGATAATATGACAAAACAAGGTTCTATAGCACCCCCAAAAGATCACAGTAGCTCCCCAGCAATGGATCCAAACCAAGAAGAAATCTCTGAATTGCCAGATAAAGAATTCTGAAGGTTGATTATTAAGCTACTCAAGGACATACCAGACAAAGGTGAAAACCAACTTTTCACTTTCTTTGTTGGCTTTCTGTCTTGATGACCTGTCTAGTGCTGAAAAAGGTGAAAGGTGAAAAAAATACAGAAATGTGGATGAAAAATGCTCCAGATAAATAAGTATCATAAAGAAAAATCAATTCCAACCTCTGGAAATGAAAGACACGCTTAAAGAAACGAAATACACTGGAAAGTTTCAATAATAGACTAGAACAGGAGAAGAAAGAGCTTCAGAGTTTAAAGACAAGGTTTTCAAATCAGCCCAATTCAACAAACACAAAGATAAAAGAATAGTAAAAAAAAAAAAAGAACAAAGCCTCTAAGATATTTGGGATTATGTTAAACAACCAAACCTAAGGATAATTGGTGTTCCTGAGGAAGAAGAGAAACCGAAAAGTTTGGAAAATGGATTTGAGGGAATAACTGAGGAAAACTTCCTGGTCTTGCTAGAGATCTAGACATCCAAATACAGGAAGCTCAAAGAATACCTGGGCAATTCATCACAAAAAGATCATCGCCTCGGCACATAGTCATCCGGTTATCTAAAGTCAAGATGAAGGAAAGAATCTTAAAAGCTGTGAGCCAAAAGCACCAGGTAACCTAAAAAGGAAAACCTATCAGATTAACAGCAGATTTCTCAGCAGAAACCCTACAGGCTACAAGGAACTGGGGTCCTATCTTCAGCCTCCACAAACAAAATAATTATCCGCCAAGAATTTTGTATTCAGCAAAACTAAGCTTCATAAATGAAGGAGAGATCATCTTCTTCAGACAAACAAATGCTGAGAGAATTCACCACTACCAAGCCAGTACTACAAGAAATGCTAAAAGAAGTTCTAAATCTTGAAACAAAACCTCAAAATACACCAAACTAGAACCTCCTTAAAGCATGAATCTCACAAGGCCTATAAAACAACACAATTAAAAGAAAGAAAGAAAGAAAGAAAACAGGGTATTCAAGCAGCAACTAGCATGATGAATAGAATATAGTACCTCACACCTCAATACCAAAGTTGAATGTAAATGGCTTAAATGCTCCACTTAAAAGAAACAGAATGGCAGAATGGATAAAAATCCGCCTAAAAGCTGTGAGGCAAAAGTCTTCAACAGACTCACCTAACACATAAGGACTCACATAAACTTAAGGTAAAGGGGTGGAAAAAGATATTCCATGCAAATAGACACCCAAAGTGAGCAGGAGTAGGTGTTCTTATATCAGACAGAACAGACTTTAAAGCAACAACAGTTAAAAAAGATGGAGGGATATTATATAATGATAAAAGGATCCGTCCAACAGGAGAATGTCGCAATCCTAAATATACATGCAGCTAACACTGGAGCTACCAAACTTATAAAACAATTACTATTAGACCTAAAAAGTGAGATAGACAGCAACACAATAGAAGTAGGGGCTTCAATACTCCACTGACATCACTTGACAGGTCATCAAGACAGAAAGCCAACAAAGAAACAATGGACTCAAACTATATCCTGGAACAAGTGGACTAAGATATTTACAGAACATTCTACCCAACAGCTGCAGAATAGACTTCCAGACTTCCTGTTCATCAGCACACGGAACATTATCCAAGACACTTCCTGTTCATCAGCACACGGAACGTTACCCGAGGCACTTCCTGTTCATCAGCACACGGAACGTTACCCGAGGCACTTCCTGTTCATCAGCACACGGAACGTTACCCGAGGCACTTCCTGTTCATCAGCACACGGAACGTTACCCGAGGCACTTCCTGTTCATCAGCATACCGAACGTTACCCGAGGCACTTCCTGTTCATCAGCACACGGAACGCTACCCGAGGCACTTTCTGTTCATCAGCATGTGGAGCGTTATCCAAGACAGACCATATGACTGGCCACAAAACAAGCCTCAATAAATTTAAGAAAATCAAAATTATGTCAAGTACCCTCTCAGACCACAGTGGAATAAAACTGAAAATTAAATCCAAAAGGAACCCTCAAAACTCTACAAATACATGAAAATTAAATAATCTGCTCCTGGTCTTTGGGTCAAGAATGAAATTAAGATGGAAATTTAAAAATTATTTGAATTGAACAATAACAGTGACACAACTTATCAAAACCCCTGGGACACAGCGAAAGTGGTGCCAAGAGGAAAATTCACAGCATTAAACGCTTACATCAAAAAATCTGAAAGAGCACAAACAATCTAAGGTCATACCTCAAGGAACGAGAGAAAAAAGAACAAACCAGACCCAAATCCAGCAGAAGAAAAGAACTAAGATGAGAGCAGAACTAAATGAAATGGAAATGAACAAACAAAAAAATACAAAAGTTAAATGAAACAATAAGCTGGTTCTTTGAAAAGATAAACAACATTGATAGACCATTAGTGAGATTAATGAAGAGAGAAGATCCAAATAAGCTCAATTAGAAACAAAACGGGAGATATCACAGTCGATACCATGGAAACACAAATAATCATCCAAGGCTACTATGAACACTGTTATGCACACAAACTAGAAAACCAAGAGGATAAACTCCTGGAAATATACAACCCTTCTAGATATAAACCAGGAAGAAATATAAACTCTGAACAGACCAATAACAAGTAGTGAGATTGAAACAGTAATTTAAAAATTGCCAGCAGAAAAAGTTCAGGACCCAATGGATTCACAGCTGAAATCATTCAAAGAAGAATTGGTACCAATTCTACTGAAACTATTCCAAAAGACATCTTCCCTAAATCAACAGACTAATATCCCCGATGAACATAGATGCAAAAAGCCTCAAAAAAATACAAGCTAACTGAATCCAACAACATATCAAAAAGGTAACACCATGATCAAATGGATTTCATATCTGGGATGCAGGGATGGTTTAACATATGCAAGTCAACAAATGTGACACACGACCTAAAGAGCACTAAAAACAAAAATCAAATGATCATTTTAATAGATGCAGAAGAAGCATTTGACAAATCCAGCATCACTTTATGATTAAAACCCTCAGCAAAGGTGGCATAGAAGGGACATACCTCAAGGTAATAAAAGTCATCTATGATAAATCCAAAGTCAACATTATACTGAACAGGGAAAAGTCGAAAGCATTCCTCCTGAGAACTGGAGCAAGACAAGGATGCCCACTCTCACCAATTCTATTCAACATAGTACTGGAAGTCCTAGTCAGTGCAATCAGACAAGAGAAAGAAATAAAGGGCATCCAAATCAGTAAAGAGTAAGTCAAACTGTCACTGTTCACTGATGATATAATCGTATACCTAGGAAACCCTAAAGACTCATCCAAAAAACTCCCAGATTTGATAAATGAATTCCGTAAAGTTTCAGGATACAAAATCAATGTACACAAGTCAGCAGCACTGCTATACACCAATAACAACCAAGCTGAGAATCAAACCAAGAACTCAACTCCTTTTACAACAGCTGCAAAAAAAAAAAAATTAGGAATATACCTAACCAAGGAGGTGAAAGACCTCTACAAGGAAAACTACATAACACTGCTGAAAAAAAAAAAAAAAAAAGAATGAAACAAAACAAAAAAAACAACCAAAAAACCCACAAAACTGATCTCTACAAATTACAAAACACTGCTGAAAGAAATCATAGACAACACAAACTATTGGAAACACATCCCATGCTCATGGATGGGTAGAATCAATATTGTGAAAATGACCATACTACAAAAGCAATCTATCAATGCAATTCCCATCAAAATGCCATCATCATTCTTCACAGAACTAGAAAAAACAAAATCCTAAAATTCATATGGAACCAAAACGGAGCCTACATAGCCAAAGCAAGACTAAGCAAAAAGTACAAATCTGGAGGTACACATTACTCAACTTCAAACTATCCTACAAGACTACAGTTACCAAAACAGCATGGTACTGCTATAAAAATAGGTACCTCGACCAGTGGAGCAGAATAGAGAACCCAGAAATAAAGTGAAATACTTACAGATCTTCGACAAAGCAAACAAAAACACAAAGTGGGGAAAGAACATCCTATTCAAAAATGGTGCAGGATTAATTGGCAACCTACATGTAGAAGAATGAAACTGGATCCTCATCTCTCATCTTATACAAAAATCAACTCAAGGTGGATCAAAGACTTAAATCTAAGACATGAAATCATAAAAATTCTAGAGGATAACATCCGGAAAACTCTTCTAGACATTGGCTTAGGCAAAGAGTTCCTGACCAAGAACCCAAAAGCAAAAGCAACAAAAACAAACATTAATAGTTAGGACATAATTAAACTAAAAGCTTCTGCACAGCAAAAGAAACAATCAGCAAACAGCCCCCAGAGTGGGAGAAAATACTCACAAACTTTGCATCCGACCAAGGACTAATATCCACAATCTACAAGGAACCGAAACAAATCAGCATAAAAAAAAAACAAATAATCCCATCAAAATGTAGGCTAAGGACATGAATAGACAATTCTCAAAAGAAGACACACAAATGGCCAACAAACATACGAAAAAATGCTCAACATCACTAATGATCAGGGAAATGCAAACAAAAACCACAACAGGATACTACCTTACTCCTGCAAGAAGAGCCATAATCAAAAAACCAAAAAATGATGGATGTCGGCATGGATGTGGTGAAGGGGAACACCGTGACACTGCTGGTGGGAATGCAAACTAGTACAACCACTATGGAAAACAGTATGGAGATTCTTAAAGAACTAAAGGTAGATCTACCATTGATCCAGCAATCCCACTGCTGGGTATCTACCCACAGGAAAAGAAGTCACTATATGAAAAAGACATTTGCACATGCATGTTTATAGCAGCACAATCCACAGCCGTGAAAACATGGAACCGGCCTGAATGCCCATTGGCTAGTGAGTGGATGAAGAAAATGTGGTATATCAGCCATAAAAAGGAAGGAAATGAATGCTTTGCAGCAAACTGGATGGAGCTGGAGACCATTATTCTAAATGAAGTAACTCAGGAACAGAAAACCAAATATCGCATGTTCTCACTCATAAGTGGGAACTAAGCTATGAGGATGCAAAGGCATGAGAATGACACAATGGACTTTGGGGACTCAAGGGGAAGAGTGGAGGGGGTGAGGGATAAAAGACTACACATTGGGTACAGCGTACACTGCTCAGGTGATGGGTGCACCAAAATCTCAGAAATTACCATTTTATCCATGTAACCAAACATCACCTGTTCCCCAAAAACAATTAAAGTTTAAAAAAAAAAAAGATAAAATAAGCCAGGCACAGTGGCTCATGTCTGTAATCCCAGCACTTTGGGAGGACGAGGCAGGTGGATTACTTGAGGTCAGGAGTTTGAGACCAGCCTGGCCAACATGAGAAAATCCTGACTGTACTCAAAATACAAAATACAAAAATTAGCCAGGCGTTGTGGCACACACCTGTAGTCCCAGTTACTCAGGAGAGTGAGACTCTGTCTCAAAACAAAACCAAAAACAAAAAAAGTTAATTAAATAAAATTTAAAAGAATAAAAAATAAAAAACACTGAAAAGAAATACAAGTGGGATAAAATGAAAAAATCTTCTGTATTTTTTCCCGAGTAAAAACTGTCCAAGTAACTTAATTATTGCTGGAACAATTAATGCTATTCCACGTGGAAACAGCTCAAATACCCCATAAAGAACAAACAAGTAAAATGGCACTTCTATGAAAGTTTTGTTTAAAAAACACAAAAAACAGACACTGAAAATGCTTAAAAACAAAATCAAGTTGAAAAAGCAATATGTTTGTTGTAATTACACCACAGAAAAACCCAAACTTTCAGAAAACACTTAAAAATATATACATGGAATAAAAAAAGGATGACTCTAGACCAAAATAGCACGGACGGTGCTTCTGGGCGAGTCTGGGTGCACGCTGCTTTTCTCTCTCCATCAATCAGGTCATGAGGGAGAAAGGCCGAACGTGCCTCTGACCACCTCGAGCTCCTGCTTCCGTGCTCCTGGCCTCGCCGCGCTCTGAGAACACCTTTGAGGCTGCTGGGCCTGCCAGGACTCCGTGTTACTAAAGGGAGAGCCAGGCGGAGTGACTCCCCGAGTCTGCACCGCGACGAAGGCCCCAGGGTCCTGGCGCCTCCCGAGAGCGGGTAATTACCGTGACTCACATTCCAGGGAGGCATCCACGCCGACAGACGCGCCAACCCTGCTGTGACTCTGAACTGAAGGCATGAGTTTTTGGGCATCTCAAGAGAGAATTTACCTTCTCTCCAATTAACAAAAGGGAGAGGGGCTACCTTCATCTTCGTCCAGTCCTCCTGGAAGGGGATCCTGTCCGCGTTGTCCGTGGAGTTGAGGTGTCTGCTCCTGAACTCGTCTCCCACCTCCCGCAGGTGCCTGGCAAACACCATGCTGCGACGGGTCTGTGGAAATGGCGACGGCTCGGCTGAGAACACGCAAGCCCGCCATGCCGCCCTTCCGGAGCGGGTTCTCCCATAGCTGCCGCCACCCACCCCTGCAGCTGGAACAAGACCATCGACAGTCGCCCGAGAAGCAGTGCCGTCCACGGTGGAGGCTCTCAAAGGGTCTCCGGCATGAAGCCAATGCAGGGCAAGCCGTCCACCCCTGCCAGCTCTGCCAGGCTCCCCCGAGGGAAGCTGTGGCACACACGGGCTCAGCTGGCCGTTGCCCCTGGCTGGCACAACTGTGTGCAGCTCCTTCCCCTCAATGTCTCCCCAACTTGACTTCTAGCTTTTGCCAAATGGGGCGGGACTGACCTGCACAAAGCCCCATGTGAGCAGGGACTGTGTCTCCTGCAGGCAGGTTCCAGCTTTACAAGCTGCTACCCTGGTGAACATGTCAGCAGGCCTGCTGTGCCCACGGGAGGGGGCAGCCGCTTCCCGCCCTATACTCCCACTCACTCACAGAACCGGGGTGGCTATGGAAAGTCACCCCATCAACACAGAAATCAACGCCAATGGGAAAGACCCGCTGCAGAGAACAGTCCCACCTTTCAAAGCTAAAGAGCGGAGAAAGGCGGGGTCTACGTTCCAGCCACTGACGGAGTCACTGACTCGGGGCAGACTCCAGGGCACCGCCACTGCATTCAGGGCTGTGGCATCAGAGGGAAGAGCTGGGCGGCCCTGCGGGCTCCCGAGGACCTGGCTCTGCGGCCACGTGAGACTCGGGGGCGGCGCAGTCACTGCAGGTGCCCGTATCCAGGACTTCAATTATGATTTTAATCAGCAAGGTTCAAAAGAGCCATCAACTGTTTTAAATTTTCAAAAACTAAATAATAGGCAACATACACTAATTTAGAAAGATGCTCCCGAGGAAACACTCACATCCCAGTATTCTTTCCCTCCGTAGTGGTCATGAAGTAGGTTCTCGGCTCTGTCTAACATCACGGACCTATTTTTAAACAACATGACAATAGTTATAAGAGTTAAGGATGATGACAGTCACACTCTCAGAGCACAAACTGGGAGAACCCAGGGCCGGAGAAGCAGAGACCAAGTCTTCAAGAGACACCAACCAGGGCGCGTCGGGCAGTTATGGCTGAGACACAGGCAGGCTGCCGTCTGGCCTCCACACTACAGTTCTGAGAGGGCTTTAATGCCCACTGTCAACTCAGAGAATGACATCAGAGAAAAGTATCTCCTAATTTGAGGAGTGTATTTGGGAGTGGGCAGAAGGCTTGGAATCCAGGATCCACTGATGGCTATGGCAAGCTGCAGGTGCGCCTGAAGACGGGAGGCTGTGGGAAGCTTTTCTTTGGCAAAAAGGAGAGGTTCACATAAGCTGCTTGGAAACAAATTCACTGACTCGGGCTCAAAGCTGGAACTGCATCTGTTCCATGGTAGAGACGCCATTCCCGGGCAGACATTCTTGCGACAGCGTCTCATCCGAGTTACTGCAGCCCTTGTCCATTAGCAAACCTGGTCCCAGGAATATGTGCACGTGTGAAGCGGTGGCTGTGAAAGTGTGAGGTGCGTGAAATGTGTGAGGAACGTCCTGGGGTTATTTCAGAGAGCCCTCCAGCCAGCCTTTATCTCAGACTCATAGGCAGGCACCTCCTCCTCTGCGCCTTCTTGCTCCAGTTTGGGTCTGACAAGTCATCCAGGTGCCTGTGACTGTCACGCTAAACGCTACCTAATTCCACGTGGGAAGTGCCTCTCCTTTTCCAGCCATTGAACCAACCATCTCACCACACTTCCTAGGGCTCTTGATGCAAAATAAAAACGAAACACACAAAACGGATCATGAGAAAAGAGACCCGAATACTGGGGTGGTAAAGGTTGGAATACAAAAACCCAGAAATTTTTAAGGAAAAGACTGATGAATTTGACTACATAAAAATTTTAATTTTGGTCTGGTGCAGTGGCTCACACCTGTAATCCCAGCATTTTGGGAGGCCGAAGTGGGCGGATCACGAGGTCAGGCAGTCGAGACCAATTGTCCTCTTCTGGGTGGCATCCTAGTTTTATGCCCTCATGGTTCACACACAGACTCTTCTACACAAACCTGGAAACAACCAAAGGCCACGTTTTCTTCCATCTGTACACAGACAGCTGCAAAAGAGCGAGGTGATGTCCATGTGTCATAATACCCAGGTGTGCGGCTGGGTGGGAAGAGAAGGGCAAACTGAAAACTGCGTGGACAGCGTGTGGTGATTCCACGTGTTTAAAAAGACGGCCGCATGCACAGACGGCGACGTGAAGTGACTTCTGGAGAGATGGGCATAGCTGGATTCAGTGGGTGCCTCTGGCCCTGCTTCCAACGCCGTTTAAGGCTTTTTGTGAAATGCAATACCGCACTTCGAGACGCACATTCCGCACGGGTGCGGGTAGAGGACATTCCGCACGGGCGCGGGTAGAGGGCATTCCGCACGGGCGCGGGTAGAGGGCATTCCGCACGGGCGCGGGTAGAGGACATTCCGCACGGGCGCGGGTAGGCAAACTGCTCCAAAACGAACACGGTGCAGCCCCTACCCGGTGGAGGAACAAAGCTCTTCACACACTTGCTCTGCCCCGTCCTCAGGGGCCTCCCCGGCATCCCCCATCTCTACCTCCGATGCACGGGACTGTCTTTGACCTTCATGCACATGGAACATGACCACATTTATCTTTTTCTTTTTCTTTTTTTACTGGGCATTATATCTTGATTTCTCTTTGTTGAAAACGGCAGCAGTCTGCCCATCGTCAGTTGTGGATCTGCCACACTCTATCCCATGCATGGCTGAGGGGTGCACGGGTTCTCCTGGTCCAGGGAGGCCATGAACGTTCCTGGGCAGGGGTCTGTGGGTGCACGTCCCACATTTGGGGTGCACCGGACTCCCAGGGTTTTACCAGATTCTCGCTCCAGGAGCAGCCTTCCAGCCCCTGTGGACCTGTCCTCCCGACGGCGGTTAGTTTCCCGAGCACGACAGCACTGGGGCACCTGCTCGCATTAACAGCAGCCGTTCTTACTCCTGAATCACATGGATCCCGTCTTGGACTCACCTCACCCCAGGCTGCCCGTCCCTCACTCATTGGGTTTCGTCTCCCGTATCCCGGAAAGTCCTTAGTTCATGAAATGTGCTGCAGGACCTTCCTCTCTGAGGCCTGTCTCCATTCTTCTAATGGACAAAAATTCTTGATTTTAAAGTAACTGGCTTTACCAATCTTTCTTTTTTGGTGCGTGCTTTTCCCATCCTGTTGAAGAAAGCTTCCTGCCCCAAGGTGGTGAGGCTCCTCTCTTAATGGCTTTATAGCTTCACCTTCCCATTAGGGCTTTAATCTCCATTAGAGACTTTCCCTGGGTGCTGGGGGCAGACGGCCTCACCCCCACGATCAGCCTCCTTCCCCTGCGCCCCAGCAGAGGCGTTTCTCCTCTATCAGGACCATCTGGCTGGAAGCCCCCCTCTGGGCTCAGCTCCATTCTAACCTGCAAATGTGAATCGAAAAAACTGACTGGCAAGACTGTTCCACGGCCCCACACGTAGGCAGACTGGCTTCCGAAACCCGGATATTTTCATGAAATGAACCCAGTCCCAGGACACTAAAGCTGCATCTCAACCACCAAAACAATTCAGCCTAGTTCCCTCCACAACCTGAGTTCTGCTTTTCCGCAACAGCCGGGCTGGCCGAGCAGCAGACACGCGGGCCTGTGCTGGAGCCACCTGCCTTCCCAAAGGCCCAGAGCAGCTGAGACCACGTGGTCCCGGCCCACTGGGGCCAGCGGCAGCTGTTACTGACCAGAGTGATACTGAGCCAGCTGTGATGTCCAATAGCGTCGCGACTGCCATGGCCTCTAGAGGTGCACACAGGGCACGACAGCAGACAAGGCAGCCTCAACCTCAACGTGGGCAAGCGCGAGGGGCACCCATGCTCTGCTGTGCCCAGTCTGTGGGAGACTGTGGGCGGTAAGCCACCCAGGTGCCGAGGCACGAGCTGTTCCAGTATAATAAAATGTGTAAAATAACAACAGTTATATTAGATATAGATAATAGATATGATTATGTATGAATATCATTAATCATTAGTTTGTAGCGATTACTCTTTATTCCAATATTATAATAATCCTCGCTCTACAATTATAACTTAGGAAAAACCACGCCATACAGAGATAGGAGATGAGGGGACATAGTGAGAAGTGACCGGAAGAGAAGAATGTGAGCCTCTGTTATGCCCGGGCAGGGCCACCAGAGGGCTCCTTCCTCCAGCGGTATTGCCAGCGTCAGGGAAGACGCCCGTTGCCAAGTGGACCATGGTCTAGCGGTAGTGTCAGTGCCAAGGAAAACACCCGCTACTCAGCAGACAGGGAAAAGGAATCTCCCTTTCCCCGGAGGAGTTCAGAGAAGACTCTACTCCGCCACCTCTTGTGGAGGGACTGACTGATGTCAGGCACACCCGCAGTTATCCGGAGGCCTGTCTCCCTGTGATGCTGTGCTTCAGCGGTCATGCTCCTCGTCCGCCTTCATGTTCCATCCTGTACACCTGGCTCTGCCTTTTAGGTAACAGTAGCAAATTAGTGAAAGTACTAAAAGTCTCTGATGCGCGGAAATAATGGCGTAAGCTGTCTCCTCTCTCTCTCCTCTCTTTCTCTCTGCCTCGGCTGCCAGGCAGGGAAGGGCCCCCTATCCAGTGGACACGTGACCCACGTGACTTTACCTATCAATGCAGATGGCTCACATTCCTTACCCTGCCCCTTTTGCCTTGTATCCAATAATTATGAGCGCAGCCTGGCATTTGGGGCCACTACTGGTCTCCGCGTCTTGGTGGTAGTGGTCCCCCAGGCCTAGCTGCTTTTCCTTTTATCTCTGTCTTGTGTCTTTATTCTTACAGTCTCTCGTCTCCGCACACGGGGAGAAAAACCCACCAACCCTGTGGGCCTGGACCCTACAGATGCTCACAGCGCCTGCTGGGGGACTCAGAAGAAGATCCAAGGGAGGTGATGGAGAGGGTCCCAGTCTGCAGCAAGTTCTAAGAACGTGGTCATCAACAGTTCCCTCCAGAGTCTACGACATCATCAGGTACCGACTTGTCTGCAACCCCAGCCGCCTGGGTGGACCCTCGCGGCCCGGCTCACCAGGCCGGCGGCCACTTGCAGCAGACGCATGGCCAAAGGTGGCTGCACGATCCTCTCCAGACCCGTGAGGCAGCAAACAGATCAAACGGTGGGTGTTGGGTGCGGGGAGGGGGCAGGTATTGGTAAAAGTTGCCCAAGTGGTACAAATGGAGAACAGTCTCATGGTAAGCCCCCGCCGCCCCCAGCCCAGCCCAGCCCCTCCCCGCGCACTCGGCCGGGCTGAGCCCTCACCTCTGTGCCCCTCGCCCTCTGTCCACGTCACCCACTGCACTGTTTTGCGGAGACACATGCAACCACTTCCCTAACCAACACCCCCAGGGCCCCCAGGGTCCGCTGTCTGTGAGGTGGGTGGGCCAGGGATGCGGGAGTGGAGACGGAGAGCCCCTAGCCCACCACGCACGGAGCAGGCGCCGCGGCCTCCAGGCTGCTCCCGAGGGGAGCAGGGCACTCACCGGGCTGATGTGTTTCTCAGAAGCAGGGGCGCCACGATGGAGGCTGAGCCCTGGACGGACAGACAGGAGACGTTCAGACCCCTGGTCTCCTCATAACCCCAAAACCATCCTCTGGAAGACAAAACCCACGGCGGCTCTGTCAGTTTATTTTGCCTTCACGAGAAAAACAAATCGAGTCTAGACACGCACACACCGTGGCTCGCTCTTGATGAAATGCGGCTGCTTTAGGAAAACTTACGATCACGACTGCGGATCATGACATTCTCGTAAAATTGTAAAAGAAGCCCACAAGCGTCTCTCAGGCTGATGAACCACTGAGGCCTTCCCCGTGACAGGGGCTGCCGGGAGGCAGAGGGAGCAGGACAGAGGCAGCCCTGTGCACCTTCAGGGCCAGCCTGGCTGTGACCGTCACCCAAGTCACCCGCGCCCTTCCCAAGAGCTCACTTGCCGTGCTTTAGAGCAGCTGCCCTGGCACTGGACACACGGAGGCTGGGAACTGACAGCTTTTCCACAGTAGGCCTGGCAGTGTCAGAGCCTTTAATGGCAATCAACACTTGGGACTGACAAGACCCCCATTCCTGTGGCAACATCCAAATGCAGGAAAAGACACAGGGAAAAAGGCACGGGGTCTCAGCCGGGTGTTCGCCACGGCCCATTCTCGAGGCCTCAGCACAAAGGGGACCCGCCTGTCAAGGACGAGAACGGTGTGGGCAGCCACAAGCGCTACCACCACAAGGGGCACTGAAGCACTGTCAGGATGCAGGGGGAAGGGAACGCCCAGAACCCGGCATCAGCACCCAGCGTGGGCACTGAGGGCGCTGTGTGTGTGTGTGGTGGGAGTGCTGTGGCGTGGGGGAGAGGCTGCAGCAAGGGGAGGAGGTGGAGGGCACTGCTGCCGGGGGTGGGGAGGGGAGTGGCTGAGGGGGGCGCCTGTGGCAGGGGCAGGGGGGTGTGCATGTGGGGGGGTGGGGCGTGCATGTGGCAGGGGGAGGCGGCTGGGGCTGAGGGTACTGTGAGGGTGTGGGGCGAGGAGTGCCTGGGGGAGGCGCCTGCCGCAGGGTGCGGGGGGGAGCCTGCGGCAGGGGGCACATGCAGCAGGGGGAGGCAGCGGGGGCTGAGGGTGCTGCGGGGGTGTGGGGCGAGGAGTGCCTGGGGGAGGCGCCTGTGGCAGGGGGAGGGGGGGTGTGCATGTTGGGGGGAGGGGCGTGCATGCGGCAGGGGGAGGCGGCGGGGGCTGAGGGTACTGCGGGGGTGTGGGGCGAGGAGTGCCTGGGGGAGGCGCCTGCCGCAGGGTGCGGGGGGGAGCCTGCGGCAGGGGGCACATGCAGCAGGGGGAGGCAGCGGGGTGGGAGGAGTGCCTGGGGGAGGCACCTGCCGCAGGGTGGCGGGGGGTGCCTGCGGCAGGGGGAGGAGGCGGGGAGCAGCCGCAGCAGGCACCTGTAGTACTCGTGCTTGTCCTGGGAGTACAGGAGCTGATCGATACACGGCCGCTCATCCACCTTCTCTTCCCAGGTCCCTTCTTTCCATCCCTCTGCATAACTTTGTAGGACGTAAACCTGGTCAATAAAGGGCCCACCAGACTCTGAAAAACACCAAGAGAAGGCGGGCAGCATGACAGCAATTGGAAGCTCACTTATGGGCATGCATCAGCCACCAGCAGGTGACTCTTACTACTGTACACCACCCTATTCCCAAAGAGACTGCAGGAGGCTCACAAAGGCCAAGACAGGTCAGAGCACAGGCCATGATGGCACAGGGCCGACAGCGTGCGATAGCAGCCAGTGGGGAGGAGCTGGTCCCCGATTCCCCAGCCCCACCCCTGCCTGGCTGCAGCAGGCCCCATCTTCACAGGGGCCCATGTGAGCCCGTCCAGCCTTCACGCCCCTGGTCCAGCCCCGGGGGCTCGCTCTCTGGCCCTCTGTGAGGCCACTGTCCCTTACCCCCTTGGTTTCCCACAGTGCTCCTCACCACCTGGGCCACCATCTACTGCACTGGTGTCCTGCCTCCCCCAGGGACAGGAGCTCAGGCGAGCAGGAATCGTGCCTCTTACCCACGGCCCAACCCACACAGAGAAGGTGACACTGCGTCGCCCAAGAGGTCAGCAATCAAGATCTGCTCAAGGGGGCAGGAACGCAGCGGAGAAAGAGCACCACACAGGTGAAGTTCTGGGGAAGGAGCACTGCAGGAAAGGAGCAGTGTGCAGGTGAAGTCCTCGGGCAGGAACATAGCGGGGAGGGAGCACCGTGCAGGTGAAGTCCTCGGGCAGGAATAGCGGGGAGGGAGCACCGTACAGGTGAAGTCCTCGGGCAGGAACACAGCAGGGAGGGAGCACCGTGCAGGTGAAGTCCTGGGGCAGGAACATAGCAGGGAGGGAGCACCGTGCAGGTGAAGTCCTGGGGCAGGAACACAGCAGGGAGGGAGCACCGTGCAGGTGAAGTCCTGGGGCAGGAACATAGTGGGGAGGGAGCACCGTGCAGGCGAAGTCCTGGGGCAGGAACAAAGCAGGGAGGGAGCACCCTGCTGGGGAAGTTCTGGGGCAGGAACAAAGCAGGGAAGTAGCACCGTGCAGGTGAAGTTCTGGTGTCCTTTTTGCTCACTCATGACTGGGGGCTAAGGGCTGCGTGGCCTACAGGCCCGAGGCCGGAGCTGCGGGGGCTCCTTCTATGCTAGTGGGAGGTGGTGAAGATCCCGCACGCTGGGTGCTATGTTAGCCACATCAGGAGCTAGTTCCTTCCCCACCTTACAGGCAAGGAAACAGCTCAGCAAAGCCCCAGGCTGGTAGACGGCAGGGAAGCGTGAGGCCAGCATATCCGCCTCAGAAGCTCATCACACGGGGTCTGTCTTCCCAGACCTTCCCAAGCACTTGGATGCCCAAGGCCCAGACCTGCCCACTTCCCTGTCAGGAAACCCACTGGTCCCAAAGGGAGGTAAGGATAACGTCTCCGAGTTCCTGTAACCTAATGTTCAGACCAAGGGCTGGCTGCTAGTTACACCAACTACCCAACCACAGCTTTCATCTTCCAGGACTCATGAGCAAATTGTAAAGTCAACTCAGGATGCACTCTAGGAATGCTTTTTACAAGCGGCAGACTTTGTGACTTGGTATCAACCAGGATGTCAGAGGTTACTCCCTGTTGTTGCATGCCCCTAGCACTCACAAGACTGACCCTGCCAGAGAAAACATTTCAAAGTGACAAGATCTAAGGTGCAATGAGCACCATCCTTGAAAAATGACGGCACGGGAGCCACACTCCTTGGCAGGGAGCAAAGGTCTCTAAGCCCCGAGAGTGGCTGTCCAGTAAGAACTCAACAGTTGCTGGAAAGCAGGAGCCTGACTCAAAACTAACTCATTCATCTTCACAGATTCTCAAATGCAGCAGCAAAGCATCACTTACTTTTAAATTTATGTCTTCCAAATGACACAACACAAAAAGCTCTGAATACCTTCATTCTAAGAAGAGCTTTAATTCCTCTCCTAAAATTAAATGAAAAAGTTAAACAACACAAAGTTAAACAAGACAGACCTTTATCCCTGGTGCTGCACAGAGACACCACGAAGCATACTCCGCACGCAGCACGTCATCCTTAGCGTAAAACAGCCTTTCGCACAGGGAGCTGAGTCCTGTCAGTCCAACACCCGGGGTGGCCGCTTTCTTAGGGTGTTAGGGCGGCTCTAACTGCATTCACCTACTCGTCAGGCCACCGTGGGTTCCAGAAGTGAGGGGGCACAAAGCTCATCCACTTCAGGTCTATTTCCCGAGAAACATTTTGGGAAGCTCACTGCAGCACGGGAAAGGGACTGCGCTCCTGAGTGGAGGAGGTGCTGCCACAGGCCTCAGGCAGCAGCGCTGGGCACTGGAGGATGCTGGTGAGTCTGGATGAAGTCGCAAGCCCAACCTGATGTCTACCTTAGAAATGATTGCCCGGCCCCAGTTAAAAAACCACAGCCTCCCAGCGTGCTGCTCGGCCTCACCTGCGATGAACTGCTCATACTCGATGACGGGGATGTTTTTATTGAGACTCGGAAGATCAAAAAACTCAGACCAGGGAATCCGGACCTGGTGGATGTCAGGACTCTGCCAGTGATAGAGGCGGCCCCACGGAGGCAGGACGAGCACCCACTCCTCCGTCTTCAGCAGAGTCTTCAGGAGAGAGGCGATTCGGATATAGACATCCCTGCGCAGGTTGAAGCCTTCCGGGGGGTTGACGTCATACAGAAGATACCTGAGCAGGCAGAATGAGGACCACAGGTCTTGAATGCTGGGGTTTCTGCACGGAAAACCTGACTACTCAGAAGTCTCAGCATATGGCCCAACTCTAGGCGCTTAAGATGGTCCCCACTTTGTGAAGGCACTGAGTGGCCTGTTTCTCTACGACCAGTTACTTACGGAGCCCGTAAGCAGAAGCTGCAGACATGCTAATGTCCTTTTAACAACTAGCAATAGTTCAACACTAAGGCTAGAGGAATCCCACTGACTAGAACCCAAGAATCAGTACCCACATGGTTCTCAAACTGTTTGGTCTAAAGACCCCTTTACACTGGAAACAATGATTGATGGCTGGTTATGTGCAGTATGTCTATTGATATGTCCTATATTAGACATTAAAGCTACAAGTATTTAATTCAGATAAAAATAATAAGCCATTACATGTTAACAAAAATCACATATTTAAACAAAAAATAAGCGTACTTTAAAAAATGAATTAGTGAGGAGGACTGTGACGATGTTCTTTTTATTTATTTATTTATTTTGAGACGGAGTCTTGTTCTGTCTCCCAGGCTGGAGTGCAGTGGCCTGATCTCGGCTCAACTGCAAAAGCTCCGCCTCCCGGGTTCAGGCCATTCTCCTGCCTCAGCCTCCCGAGCTAGCTGGACTACAGGTGCCCCGCCACCGAACGCCCGGCTAATTTTTTTGCTTTTTAGTAAAGAGATCGGGTTCACCAATATTAGGCCAGGATGGTCTCGATCTCCCTGACCTCCGTGATCCACCCCGCCTCCGGCCTCCCAAAAATGTGCTGGATTACGGCCCTTGAGCCACCGCGCCCGCCAAACATGTCTTAATTTTGCCACTCTTTTTGGGTCTGGACAAGCGGGATCCATACATCGTTTCTGCATCAAATCTGTTGTGACATCACAAGATCAAGGCGGGTTTCTAGGAAAACTCAACGCGGTGCACTCCAATGAGAGAAGTGAAAAGAGCGTAGAATGACCCGGTACATAAAAACGGCTACAAAAGCTCAGAGATCCGACACCACTTTTAAGATCACTGCCCTAAGGCGGAAGACAGCAAAAGCACCCCAAGGCACAGACAGAGTCCAACGGTTTACATAAACCTCGGTACTCTCCTTCTCCTGCTCTGCGCGGTTTCCACAGACCCACCGTCGCGGTGAAACTAACGTGCACGCGCCCAGGCCTGCGAAACGGCCACAAGGGCCGCGCAACTCTGCGTCCCAGGCCCCTTCTCAGGTCGCGCTTGGAGAACTCACGCCACAGGGCGGCGCGAAGCTCGTCTTGGCCAAGAAGTCACTGCCGGAAGCGCCGCCGGGCACTGACCTCCCAGCTTCGCATACCCAACGCCTGACTCCGCGACACTCAGGGCCCTCCTGACAGCCACGCCCAGGCCTCCAGCCCCGAGCCAACCCGGTGCCCTTCCCTGGGCTCCCGAGGCTGCGCCATGGCTCGACGCGGACAACCCTGCCTGCACCCCGGGCCCGTAGTGACCGGAGCCTCCGACCTACAGTCAACCCACCCGGCCTGGAATCCTGGCCCCCCAAGCCCCTGCCCCATCCCCAAATCCTCTAGGCCCCGGCCCCCGCCCCTGCCCCTGCCCCTACTTTCAGTCCCCCATCCCATCCTTCCTGTCCCTGCCCCGCCCCAAATCCCCAGTCGCTCAAAGGAAACCCCGCTCCTGCCCCCCATCCATCCATCAAAACCTCTGGCCCCTGCGCCCAAACCCATACCAT